GGGGGGGGGGGGGGGGGGGCAGTGCCCTCCCGGCGATATAGGTGAAAGAAACCCTGTATGGTATGATACTTTGTTGTCTAGGGCCTAGGGTGTGATTCTTTCTTGTCTACGGCCTGTGGAATAATTCTTACAACCAGTACACAACAATAACACTTGACATAAAGTGCTTTCCATTTATTAATTATTAAACTTTAATTTAATTACACTTACACTAGAAATTCACAGTGTCATCAGTGCACACGCTAACACAAATGATCCAACAAGTACAGTAAGCTTCGCTAATAAACTTTGTCAAAATTAAACAACTCCATAAGTACAAAGTTTTTCGTATTAATCATTTATATGTATTTCTTTTTGCATTTATGTCATTGAACGTGATCTAGAAAGTTTTCTGCTGGCGCCCATGCCTCCAGCCACTCTTTCACACTCACACCTAGACTACGTTTATAAAACCACTAACTAACCTATCATTAGGGATTTTCACCTCGTCAACAAAGACAAATTCTAATAGTTGACTACTTTCCAAGTTTCATTCGCCATATTATGATGTCCCCCGAAGTCGGAGAGCAGGGCATGAGTGGCTAGCATACCACCATTACAAATGTCGGGCAGGTGTTGATTAATGACAGCAATCACGATTCTATTTGTGTGGATGGTGACAGGGATAAAACGAAGACTTAGTAAGTAAGGTCGTCAATCTCCCGGCGTAGTGATACACCATTAAACGGCGGTGCCCTCCGGCATCTTGTATAGGAGTATTAATCTATAGGTAAATTACGGAGATGGTGGAACTCTTTTGTCAGAATGAGGTTCTCATAGACTCTAAACACCGTTGTCTCGTTGTGTGTAAACCATATTGAGCTTTTATCCTGTTTGATTTCATATGAATGCATGACTTAGTTTAACACACACACACACGCACACACGCACACAACTATTTGTAGTGAATTGAAAATAAGATCCGATACCACGGTTTGAATCGGTAACATAGGACTAACAGATAAACTGATTCTCACACAATACATGTTTGTAACTTTATCACACAACTTTAGCCCCTCTGTACTTTTCAGCAAAAGTAAGCAGCATATGTGTGTGCGTGTGTGCGTTTGTTTGTGTGTGTGTGTTTGTGCACGCACGCGCTCTCTCACGCTGGTGTAGTAGGAAGGACGCACGAGTCAGTTGTCTGTTAATACTTGTGTTGTCATTAGCGTTGTCGTCTGCCGAATATAAATAACAATGTGGACAGCCGTATTGGATTATATAGAACTACTTTAGGCTCGCGTCCCTCGCCAAAAAGAGCGAGCATTATTGGAAGTTATTGACATAAGCAGTCCTCGAGTTAAACATACACGTATACTGTACTATTTGATCAGCTGAGTTTGGAAAACTTCATCAACTGGATCGTAACAGAGCAATCGACTGCACACATCATGGAGGGTCTCATCCCTACTGCCGACTACCCCGGTGCAGATTCATCCGGTAAAGCCTGTCTTGATTTCAGCGACCCCCACGACGTCCCGGCTAGAGATCCGACGCCAGAGGAGCTCCACCCGTTTCACCATGGACGCCAACCGGAACACGTCGAGGGTGACACGATGGGCGGATTCAAGCCAGTGCTTCAGCTTGGGTTTGAAATTCCCAAATGGTGGCAAGTCTCCTGGCCTTCGAGATTCAGCAGCTGCGAGCGATGCTTGCAGACCCTTAACGTGAACGGACAACTCCAACACGCCCGTGGACTTGTATCCGGCCGAGTGCAACACCGTCCTCTCGATATCTGTGAAACGACATTCATTCAGAATCCACTGACCATGAGCGTCACGGAGTCAGAGGAGCAAGGGCCTTGTGGGACAGACGTGATTGGTGGCAGGCGTGATTTTGCGACGGGTGGGATCGGCGTCGCAGATAACAAAAACCCGCACAAAGTCGGACGCTACGATTCTTTGGATGGTGACGCAAATCGCCATCGCAACCGGAAGTCGGGCGTACGAGGGACTTTATCCGAGTTCGCGGAGCGTGCCTCGATCCCCGGGATAAAGTTCATGCACGCGACACAGACCACGTGGGCGAGGGCGGCGTGGGGCGTGCTGCTGTGTGTCCTGCTGGGCCTGGTCTCCTTCCACCTCTATCACTTGATTGCTGTCTTCACGTCATGGCAGAAAGTTACACAGGTACAGTTATCCACTTGTTTTATTTATGGTATCAAGATGCTATTTTGGGGGATTACAAGTAGTTTCTTGTTCGTCTCATTCATTGGTCTTGATGCAACATTACATTATTACTAAAAGCGATCTCAATTAGTTTCAATGCTGAAATTATTTAAAGGGAGTCACTTAAAAACTTAGCATTGACTCCAAATGTAATCAAGTTGAATTTCAAAAATGTTATAGAATATACATTAAAATTAATTTTGTTTCTCAGTAAGTGTGTTGTTTCTCAGTAAGTGTGTTGTTTCTCAGTAAGTGTGTTGATAAGAGGCAATATTCCAATCACAAAAAAACAAACAAAAAACAAACAAAAAACTTTCAGGTCAAACAACATCTACCACCTTTGACAATGCGGTGTTTTCTTCCACCAGGTCTCCCTTGGATTTGACACTCTTCAGTTTCCCGCCGTGACCTTCTGTAACGTGAACCCTGCTCGTGCCTCCCGGTTGACCTTGGCCTCAAAAAAATTACAGGAGCTTTCGTCACAAACCGACCCCCAAGCGCTGATTACAAAGATGGTAAGTAGCCGAAACATATACAGTATATATATATCCTATATTTTAATACCTCTGCATGGAAGCTGTTAAGTTTTTAAGTAAAAGGACTATGGTAGGCGTCAACTGGTGGCGCCACTTGGTTAGAATAACTGTAGAAATTTAAGACATAGTCTATGTGACGGGAAGATTAAAATGGTATCTTTTACACATACTTGCAGTAACGCCATTTGTCACAAATGTGTATGCGTTGCAAAAACTTCAAGTTTTGTACCAATGCTGTATGTTGTACTAATATTGTATGTTGTACCAATGCTGGATGTTTTACCAATACTTCACGTTGCACTAAAGATGCATACTGTACCAATGCTAAATGCTGTACCAATGCTGCGCGTTGTAACAATTCTGCAGGCTGTACCAGTGATGCACGTTTTCCCCATGTCGCACGTTGTGCCGATGTTGCACGTTAGACCAATGCTGCCGGTTTTAGTCTAGAAGATTTTAAAATAGGCAAATCGATGAATTTTAGCTGGTCGTCAAGTGGAGGGAAATAAAAACAATTTCTGTCATCGACTTAAAGAAGGAGCATCTCTGTAACACTTTAACTCTTTGTATTCAACAGACTAAGGCCGTGGTGTCCAGCACGGGCGGAGTCCATCGCAGGGATACTCAAACGGAACGCACAAAACACGGGCCTCAAAAAAGATATCAAAATCTGAACGTCTTTGTTAGAGCTCAAGATGGCATGACCAACGAAGGTCAAGTGGCGGACGACTCAACACGAAACGACGTCAGTGACGACGCCTGTGAAACGGTGTGCAGCCGTACACAAACGTCCGATGAAGTCGATCCAGACAGCGTGGCAGCGTCCCAAGATCGGCGACTGAGAACGACGCAAGCCGATAACACGAGATATACAGACGCACGGGGACCCCGCGCCAGGCGACGGTTGGTTATGGCTAAAAGGTCGTCCCCCATGGACGTCGACATGCCTGTCATGATCGAAGACACCGTCTTGGAGGCTCCGAAACTCGTGACGGCGCAATCGACTGGCGCAGACCGTAGCGCAGCCCACACTGCCCAACCGCTGCTGACGACAGCTCCGGGAGTCGGTGAGCCCATAATCGACTGTTGCATATAAATAGATCCACATATATTATTATGTATCAGTGTAATTACATTTTCTGAATGTTTAAATTGAATCAATGTATTAGCGTTGACATGGTAACGAACTGCAGGCTTACTAACTTCCTGAAGACTATATGTTGTCGTTGTTTTTTAGTGGGAACAAAGGTGACCCTCTCAAATTGGTAACATTTACACCCTTTGTTTTTCCAATTCAGATTACGATTAGCAATACTTTGTTGTCATAGTGACAACATTTTTTTTGTTGTTGTTGCTACCATCCGTCCGTCAAAATTGTACGATGGTGTAAACTTCGCACGACGAAATCCACAAGGTCTGGCATTATTCTTTTTAGGATTATAAGCCGCTCCCTACACAGCAAATTATCTCTCTCCACGCCGCTGAGTAAACCAGGGGAACATCATAAAATGTGGATGATACAGCTTGGCACCAATGGCATCACAGGAGTTTTCGAAATGTTTCATTGAATTATAAAATTACTTTAACACAAATCTCAATCGAAAATAAATTAGAATTTAAAGACTTTCCTTGCAAGTTCTAAATGTATAATTAAAAGTATTTTTTCAAACTCCCCCCCCACCCCCGCACCTCCACGCTTAAAAAATAACGTATCATTTCAACACCTTCCCTAAAGTATCGTATCAGACATCTGCGCACCCCCAGACAGAGTCAGCCTCAGCAACAAGCCGATGTTTTAAATTGGTCTTGATCGAGTTTCGGCGGACAAACATCCATACCATTTTGTAGTAGTAGTATAGACTCTTAGTAGAGACACTATGTTGTAGGAAGCCACATTTTGACACACTTCTCTCAATTTCATTAACTTAAAATTTCGTTCTCAAAGTCTTTTTTCCTGGGGATGTTGGAGTCTGGCATAGCTCTTCGATGTACGTGCCGCATTAACGTGCCATTCTCCACCAAAATGACTTTGTCTCGTTTCAGCATCCGGTTTCAAGACGACCAACCCTGAAGATGGTGGACACAGCACGGCCGGTTTGGGCGGTGACGTCCCTTTGCACGGGGACCTCATCGCTCAGATATGGGGTCTGGCGACAAGGGTGACCCCGTCCACGGTGACGCCAGAGTCACCTTCCTCCAGCACCATCGGGTCCTCACACGATGGGGACGTGTTAGAAACAACCAGGGTGGAGTTCATCAAGGGGGACACGACCGGAACAACAGGCGCGTCGGCGAGTTCAGTTGTCCGAAGCGAGGAGCCCCGCAAGGCCATGAATTTCATCAATGACCTCGACCTTGAAACCGACAACATCCGACGGAAGGTTCAGTCGGAGCTCAATGAACAAGACCACGTGCTTTTCGCTGAGCCGTCGGTGACGTCAAACATTGCTGACCAGTTCATTTACCTTTTTTCCCTGGAAGACAGGTTCGTTGGACAGGTTCGTTGACAGTTTCGTTTAACAGGTTCGTTTAACAGGTTCGTTTGACAGGTTCGTTGGACAGGTTCGTTGGACAGGCTCGTTGGACAGGTTGGTTGGACAGGTTCGTTGGACAGGGTCGTTGGACAGGGTCGTTGACAGGTTCGTTTGACAGGTTCGTTTGACAGGTTCGTTTGACAGGTTCGTTTGACAGGGTCGTTGGACAGGGTCGTTTGACAGGTTCGTTTGACAGGTTGGTTTGACAGGTTCGTTTGACAGATTCGTTTTGCAGGCTTGTTGATAGATTCGCACATCAGGTTCGTTTACAGGTTCGTTTTTCAGGCTTGTTAACAGGTTCGTTTTCAGGCTTGTCAACAATGGTTATTTTTCAGGCTTATTGACAGGTTCGTTTATCAGGCTCCTTGACAAGTGCGTTTATCAGGCTCGTAGACAGGTTCGTTTTTCAGACTTGTTGACAGGCTCGTTAATTTTTTTTAAATTAACCAATAAAGAGCCACGGGTATGGTGTACGACTGTCTGTAGGACTGTCTATATGACTATTGTTTAAAGGCCGGCAGGTAAGGAGTAACACTGTCAATAGATCTGTCTGTAAGACTATTAAACAAACAAAAAAAGAAAATGAGAAGTTAATTCTTTTTTTTTTATATAACACTTGGACCGGATATTTTCTAAAATATACCCTGACCTGGTGTAAAAAAAGCTGGACCCGGTTAAGCCCTAGTTTATTATAAAATGCATGAGTTAAGGTTCAAAGTTCAAAGGCAAAGTTATTTTAACATACGGGGTCATGTTTAGTTATGACGTCTTTTAAACACGTTTATGTTTCACGCTGGTGGTTGAAAAAAAAACAACGTAATTACACCCCCCCCCAACCCCTTTTTTAAAAAAAAAACCAACAACTTCCAATTTACCTTCCAAAAATAGGCCAACAAGAATCAAACTTGGACATCAAGTGGAAGACATGTTGGTGGATTGTTCATTCAATGGTGGCAGGTGTTTCCCAGAGTAAGTGTCAGTGAATAGATAAATATAAAGTATATCAGGTTTTTTTTTTTTTTTTAATAATCTTAAATAGTAAATTTTTAACTTTAAAGCCTTTACATAAAAAAAAAAAAAAAAGCAACATGAAAAAAAAAAACTAAAAAAAACTTTTTTTCAGCCAACTATTAAAATA